TCTCGTTCATAAGCCGGGGACCGCCTTTTTTCCTCCTATTGTTACATTTGTTTAACAGTCAGTGTCGCCTTGAGGTCTGGGAGTTCCCAGGGCGCTGTACTATAAAGGTAGGTGTATGACAGAGTTACGTGAGTCACCCTACAGAATTGCCAACCGGCCTCGGAGGAAGGACCTACCTTCTGGGGAACTGTGCGCCCTGCTCGGGCTTCTCCTGGGGGTCAAAGTTGGGCCCGACTTCCTTTTGCAGGGCCCCAGGCGCCCTCCGCTCCTGCAGTCATTTCCCAGCAGGCCCCCAGAGGGCCCCCTCGCCTGCGGGCCACGGCCCGGCTGCCTCCGAGCAGGCTCCCGGGGCGGCCTAGCGGCGGAGGGACGCGCCCTTCTCCCCTCGCGGACGCCTCCTCCCCAACACCGCCTCCGCCCAGCCCCCAGACAATCTATTAGCCATTGAGGCTGACAAAACCCTGCGACCCGGCGCATTGTCCCCTGAGCGCCCGGCCTCTGTCATTAGTCCTGATTACGCTGAGCCGCCTGACAGCCCGCCGGCCCGCTCCGCAGACCCCCCATTCACCGCCGCCCCCCCCCGCCCCGCCTCACAATAGGAGCGGAAATCGTCGGCGCTCCAGCGTCCTGGCTGAATAGGGCGCAAAGCTGCTTCTCTTCTCCTCCCGCCCCATTCACATTCTCTTTGGATACAATTTTTTTTTTTTTCCTTTTTGTGAAAATTAGGGAGCGAGAACGCGGTTAAGTAAGACTTTGCTTGAGCTCTTAGCCTGTCATTTGTTTAATGTAAACAAAGAGCAAGTCCTCTCCCACCCTTACTCTCTCATCCCTCCCTCTCAGATTTTTGTAAACAAACCCGTGAGGGGAAAGGGGAGGGAACTGAGGGCAGTGGAGTGGGTCATTAATGTGAAGACCCGGGGAACTACGGCGTTGGGGAAGCTGGAGCCATCGGGTTTGGGATTGAACCTGCGGGTAGCCTTAAAAGAGCCCCAGTTAAGACTAAGGATAAAACCCTCACATTAGTCTGGTCATCTGAAATGTAAAAATGAAGTTTATCACTGGAGTGACTGATTATTTGAGAAATTGCAGGGGCAAACAATTTAGAGAAGATTGCAGCAAAATAACCCATCATATGGAGATTTCTTCAAATTCAAAGAACTTCAACCTTATCTGGGTTTATAAAAAAGACTAGGGTAAAACTGATGTGGGAAAAGAAAAAGTCTTAAAATAGGAAAAGAAAACCTTTACAATGTATCTCCAATGGAAGATTTGGGACAACAAATAAATCTTCATGTGAAAATTTAGACCAATTCCCAACGTAGCTGGATATCAAAAGGAGTCCTGGTGGTGCAGGGTTTAAAGCGCTTGACTGCTAACTGTAATATCTGGGGTTGGAATGAGGCTTGTAACCCAGCAGTGGCTCGGTAGGAGTAAAATGAGGCAATCTGTTTTCAGAAAATATTTACTGCGTTGGAAACCACAGGAAGCATTTCTACTCTGTTCTACATGGTCACCATGAGCTCTCCCTCAGAATACACTTCACAGCTGTGTGGGTTTTTTTGTTTGTTTCAAGTAGCATGTCATCAAAGAACTGATTATTTGCAAAGAACTGAGTATTTGCCTTTAGACTTAAGAAACTTTTTTAAGTATATAATGTGTCTCCTCCTTAAAATTCTAAGGAGGAATGAGATAAATTTCTATATTATTATAAAAGAACTGTTGTTAAATGCCAAGTAGGTTATAGAGACCCTGTATAGGGTTTCTGAGGAGCAGCTGATGGGTTTGAACCACTGACCTTGTGTTTCAAAGTCCGAGGCTGATCCTACAGCTCCACACCAGGAGTCCATAAAAGAAATAGCTACTTTAAAATGTAATCCCTAGGCAGCATGTTAATTTAAGCAAATGATAAATGTGTCTTTAAGGCTTTCAAGAAAGCCAGGGAGAAAATCCACCTTCACTGTTCAGCCTTTGTCTTTTCTCCAAGCAATTAAACATCATTTAAGAAAGTATTTTGTATGAAGAAATTGAGTTCCTAGAGGTGTTATCCTCTGGTTTTCTTGAGAATGCAGAGGGGACATTTTCTTCTACTTAGACAATGTCTGAACTGATGAATGGGGTAGGATTTTGAGAATCTCAAATTCCTTTACATGATTCTACTAAGATGAGTCCTTTCCCTTTCCTCTTGGACCTGGAAATATCCCCTTTCCTCTTAGACCTGAAAGTATCAGCTTAAGAGAGAAAATTTGTCAACTTGGTAAAATGCTTGATTTGGAGAGCTATATAGCTAGGATGGTGATGGGGACAAGACTAGAAATATTTGGAGTTTTTGTTGTTGTTGCAGTGAAACACCCTTAGGCTCAACCAGGAGTGGAGTGAGACCCAGAAAAGCGCCTACAGTATAACATTTAAGGAGGTACTCTCTCAGAATCATGCAAATACAAGATCAGCACCTGGGAGTGAGTGCCTCCTTAAATTTTGCACACTAGGCAACTTGCTTTCCTCACTTAAGTGCAATCCCAGACCCTTGACATTCCAGGAACAACCTGGGGGTCTAGGAAACTACCAAATAAGAGTCTTGAAGTAGCTCTACCATCCTAGCTGAAAGGGACCCATGAAGGACATTTGCTTGCCTTAGAGATGAATACCAGCTTTATCACAAAGACTTCCCACTCCTTATATCTAGAGCACTTGTGCAAGAAAGAAGAGTTTTGCTTTTGAGCAATTCTCAGAATAAGGGCTGCTCTGCGGTACATAATGACAACCATTTATAAAGTCCAAATGAGGCCAAATAGGTTTAAGTGGTTCAGAAACCAAAAACAACCCTTATTCATGTCCTGGATTTCCACTGTATATGTTGCCATTTGATTGCTTTTTGTGTTCCCTGACTTCACTTATTTTTGTTTGGTTTGCCCTTCAGCACATCTGCCCAAATAAGTTAACATACTTCTGATTCAAAGAGCACCTTCTGAGGACAGAGAAGACAAATGAAAGGAGACCAATTTAGTGATGGGGGAGGCTCGTTCAAGTAATTTATAAAGATCAATGCTAAATTTTATAATGCAATCTTTTTCACTAAGAAAATAACGTACAGGCTCTCTGAAAAGCATTAAGTTTTTTAACGAAAGTATAGTATTCAGTACTGTGGGGGGGAAAAATATAAAGCTGAGGTTAAAAACAAGAGCAAAGCCCAAACCTGTCACTTCTTTGTAGCCTTCTGTTTTAACTCAACAACTGACATAGTTCCATCCTTCCCCCTAACTCAGTTTCCTTTCATTGAAAACCAATCATTGGTGTAAAAACCAGCATGAAGATACTAATCTAGTGAATTACCACCTCTCCAATTCTCCTTTTCTTTTAATGAGTGCAATCCTAAATAAATACAGTATATGCTCACTCTAATGTTATCATGGATGCTCACTATTTTTGTATTCCACTCACTACCTTCCCAGTAGCTTCCAATTCATAATGACCTTATATTGAGTTTCCAAAACTATAAATATTTATGGGGCAGACAACTTCATCTTTCTCCCTCTTAGCAGTTGGTTGGTTTGAACCACTGACCTTGCAGTTAGCAGCCCGATGCCTAGCCCACAACGCCTCCAGATGCTCTCATTCTACAGCCCATGCCAGGATGGTCTTGCATTTTTATAAAACAGAACTTCTTGAGTATCCAAGTTTGGCTTCCAAAGTTGTTCCTGAAAATCTTTGATACTTCATAGACGTGTCAGGTGGACAAGTCATAGTTACCTGTGATAGTAACTCATTTTGGAAGTTACCTTATGAGTATTCTCATGTTACCGATTTTTCAGTTTAAATACATCATATATCTATGTATATACCTATTTACATATACTGTTATTGTAAAGATCCTGCTGATACAGTGGGTTAAACATTGAGCTGCTAACTGTAAGGCTGGTTCAAGCCCATCAACCCCTCTGTGGAAAGAAGTTTAGTTCAAAAAAACCTATAATTTCTGAAATCCTAAGGAACCATTTACTCTGTCTTAAAGGGTCGCTATGAGTCAGCAGTGGATTCTTGGGTTTATTGTTAGTTGTTAGTTGCTGTGGAGTGGATTCCGATGTGTACTTTATGTGTACGGAACAGAACCGTTCCAGCGCTGTGGGATAATGCACTGGACCGACAGGTCAGTTTGAACCACAAGGTCAGTTCAAATTCACCAGCCACTCCTTGGAAACCTTGTACAGCTTTGCTGTGAGTCGGAACTGACTTGAGGACACTTAACAACAAATTAACAACATAGGGATTTCAAGACTGATCAAATCACCAGATCTATCTTTTGAGGCACCTCTGGGTGGGTTTGAATTACCACCTCTCAGCATTAGCTGAGCCACACACACACACACACACACACACACACACACACAGACCTGGGAGGTGGCCATGGACCTACTAAGCATTGTTTTAAAAATAAGCCAAGAGACATCAGAAAAGATAAAAGGAATGGAGCAGACCCACATGAGACAGTTCCACAAGGATTCTTGCCTGGCAGAAATCTAAAAGCAGCTATCTTGAGTAAAAACTGTCCATCACCATGTTGTTTTATTGTTTAGCTGCTTCAGACAGAACCCATAGGCGCCAGAGAGTGCACTGAGAAACAGCAAGTTCTCCAAGTTATAGAGATGCCTACCGAGGCAGTCCCTTAAATAAACAACATATCTGTTTTGTTTTGTTTTTTAAAAAAACTTTAAAGCAAAAGTTATACATATATAACAGCATTCTTTCAGCCTGAAATGTCCCCAGGAGACTTAAAGCTGACACTCGGTGTGCAGCTTACGTTCCAGAGGCATCTTTGCAGCAAAATCTTTAGGAAAAAGCAAAGCAAGGAGAACATGGCGCTGGATCAGGCCTAACGGAGGAGGACGAGACCCCGTGGTAGCTGTTAGAGGGCATCGGTGGAGCTGGACTGGCTGCTGGCTGAATACAGGGCCAGATTCTCCTGGTTCCTGGCCACTTGACTTCCGAGGGTACTGGGTTTGCTTGGTCTCTTTTCTTCTCCTTCATTTTGTTTGTTTCATTTTTACACTGGATTCTGTTTCTGAGCATGCCAGGTGGGCGGCTTAGATGTCGCATTCGCTGTCGCTAGACGTGATAGAGATAGCCGAAGTTGCCGCCTTGCTGGACAGACTAGCTGCAGGACTGACCGCGGCGCCCAGCATCTCAGGCGTGCCTTCATCCTCAGCCCGGAGCGCTCTCTCAGATCCCTGCGACAGCACCTGCTGCTGAAGCCTGCGAGGGAAGAAGGGAATACAGATCACAGAGCGCCCCAGAGATGCCAAGCGCCCCTCAGTCCGCCCCGCTTCAGTCTGGAGGATGCCAGCTCTCGTTTCCCTGGAACTCCACGGAGTTCAACCCTCCTCCGCGCCTTTTCTAGGCTATTCCCCGTTTTGGGGGGTGATGGGACCGCAGGGGTTTCTCCTGGCAGTTGCTCACTTTTGGGAGATTGATTGGACAATCAGGAAATTGCCAGGTCTGGATGACAAGGATAGGTCAAGCTCCTGCCTGGAGCGCACGCCTGAGTCCGGCTCCAGGCCCAGTTGGCCGAACTAAAGGCAAAACACCGTGACTTGAAAGAAGCAAAAAACGTTTGGGTCTGGGAGGCTAGGATGGACTCTTGGCCAAACTGTTTGCTTAATCTAGATGTACACGCTAGGAAATGAAAATTCTAAAGCCAAGTACTAGCAGTTTACTGTTTTGCGACATGCAAGCTGGGGAAGAGGAGAACTCGATTTCTCACTTCCTCTTAGAAACAGGAGTCCATCGAAAACTGTTTTCAAAGCATTAGAATGGGATGCATCTGGGTTTTTTAAATGACAGAATTAATACTAAACCGCCACTGTTATAAAACCAAGCTTTGTAGGAGTCTTAGCTCAGGTTGAAACAATTAGCTTTAGGCCTTGAGGATCTCTCACTGTTTCTGGGATTTTTATTTTATTTTATTTCTGTCAATGCAGACTTTATTTGGTAACTGAGACCCACTGCTGGCGCGACCTCCGAGGCACCAAGGAGAGACGGTTGAGGATCAAGAGCCTAGAAAATAGCCCGCCGCCCTCGAGGAGTCTGGCAACCGAAGACAAACCGCGTCCTCCAACTCCTGGCCACCCGCACCTGGGCAAAGAAACCCAGGGTGCTACCGCCCACCCCTTCCGGGCCACCCACTGAAGCTTCTAGGTACAGACCTGTTCTTGGCTGCCGCCGCCCTGTCCCTTTGTCGGCGGTTCTTGAACCAGTTGCCCACCTGCGTGGGGGTCAGTCCGGTGGCCTGGGCGAGCTCACGCTTTTTGCTGGGGTTGGGATACGGATCCTGCAGGTACCACTCGCGTAGCAGGTGTCGCGTGCGCTCCTTGAAGCAGTGTGTCTTCTGCTCGCCGTCCCAGATGGTGCGCGGCAAAGGGAACTTCTTCCTTACGCGATACTTGTCCACGGGTCCCAAGGGCCGTCCCCGCAGCTTCTCGGCCTCTTGGTAGTGCGCTTCAAGCCACAGCGCCTGAAGCTTGGCGTGTGACTCTTTGGTGAATTTGTGGTTCTCCAGGATGTGGTAGAGCTCACGGTAGTTGCCACCGTGAAAGGCCACGATGGCCCGTGCGCGAAGCACCGACTCATTCTTGTTGAGGGCCTCGCAGGCCGCGGGGGCCACGGGCAGCGACCAGAGGAAGCGACCCAGGCGCTCCACGTCGCCGCTCTCTTCCAGGGTTTCACATACCCCGGCCACTTGCTGCGGGCTGAAATTCAAGATGGGCAGCTGGAACATCTAGGCAGCACTGGCGGCGGCAAAGGCGCTGAGCACCAAGCGGAACACTCAAAAGATGCCCTCAGGCCCGGCCGGGTGTACCAGCCTCTCCTCCTACAAGCGCCTCGGGGCCGGTGGCGGAGCTGCGAGAGAGAATGGGACTGAAAGAGATGCCGGCTCCGAAGCTCCAGTTCGGCTGGGCTCAGCTCCCGCACACAGGCAGGCACGCAGGCAGGCACGCAGGCGGGCGAGCTGGCGCCGCTACTGGGGTGGGCGGATTGGCGACGCGGGCGCCATGGAGACCCCCTGTCAGTCACCGACCAGCTCTGCCAATCAAGGCTACGGCAAACTGGTCCGGGTGACTTCAGCACCTCCCCGCTCTTGACAGCGCCCACCACTAGTCCGAGGACTTTCCCTTAGCATTTTGCAGAACCTGGGGAGTAAAAAGACGTGCCAGTTGCTGGGAGAGAAGCAGGTAAAGGCGACAGCATTTCACGCGTCACCCTCCCCCTACGTCTGGCTACTCCCTCCCTTTTTGTTTCCCCAAAGAGGCACTGATACTTAAGGAATCCACTTTGGGGCGATTCATTACCTTGTTTGAGGGGGATCCAAGCGACAAAGAGGACTTGGCCAAATCGGAAAACCTCCGAGAAGTCACAAGATTAGTCGTAAGAAAACAGCAAGCCATGTGGGAGCTCATGAATGGGAGAGGCATAGAAGATTAATCACCCTGTCTCTTCCCAGGACCCATTCTTACATACTTTCCTCTGTTCCCTTTTCTAGCGGCCGCCAAAGCAGCCGAATGGGAAGTGAATCTGGAGCAGAAGGAACAGGACCAGAGATCTGTAGAAGAGGTCAGTTTGAACACCATTTCCCCACTCTTACAAAGCCTCCTGAAAGCACTTAAAAAATATGAGCAGGAAGGCACTTAAATTTAGCAACATTGAAACACTTAGCAACCAAGAAGTCAAATTCTCATAGTCAAAGGAGGGCTATAGGAATGGCTGACCCAAATAAAATGTGTACTTTTCAGGTCTACCCCTACTCCACCCCCAGTTAAATAGATTCTAGCAAATGTGCAATACCCACATCTAGAGTGAGAAGTCATTGATTGGTCAGGATAGCAACTTAAAAGCTTTTTTTAAAACAGATTTGTTCCTCTCCTTGCAGTTGAATTTTGCCTCTATCCTGTGTTTGAATATATAACCCTTGAGATGGGGACAGAAATGTGAACCTTGGTCCTTTAGCCTAAACGCAAATCAATAAAAGTAACTTAAAGAAAGGGGCGGGGGCAGTCCGCAGCAATGCTGAGGACCTAGAAAGCGCTTCCTAAATTCCACTGGGCAGTGACCTCTCCTGCAGAGGGGAAGGGCCTTCTTGGCAGGACTATTTTCTGTCTTGGGACCAGCAGATTGAATTGGCAACTTTAATTGATTTCCAGATGAGGTCCAGGTCACACAGTTTTCTGATGCCTTGGTTAAAGAAATCACTGCCTCCTCTGAGCCTTTGATAAAGCATGCTTAATGTGAAGAAAATGATTAGGAGACTGGGTCCACGGAAAACGCCAGGGGACTTGGAAGGTCTATCCCTTTAAATGGAATCAGATAGGAATATTTACTGTCAAAGTGGACTGGTCCTGGCTATCTTTTCTTTAGTATCAAGCACAATGTGTACGGAGCTTGTTCAAATCTGGTAAATCAGAAGGCAGATAGATAGCACAGATGGTTGGAGGTGTCGGGTCAAATCATGCTACGCCTGAGTGCAGAACAAAGCTCGTTCTGACGGAAAACCTTGAGATTATTTTCACAGATCTTCAGAGTTCGCTCAAAATAAATAGGAGAGGGGGAAGAAAAAGCCTAATTTCTACGAGGTTGCCAGCGGCCTCAATAGACAGGCTTTCTTTTCTAAGAGTTCATTTTCTTGAAATGTGACAGGGCAGGGGCAAAGCTAAGAGGGCGAAGGGGATATGTCAAAGCACAAATCTTTCTAGGTTGGGGCGACTTCCAAATGAGCCGGAAGGACAACTTCCTGCCAGAAACATTGCGTGCAAAGCAGAGGAAAGCAGTAGGCGCCGGGCGGAGGTGAAGGAGTGCTACGTCCCCAGTATTGTCCCAGGGAAGCAAAGTAACTAACCTCTTGCTTCAATTTGCAGAGGTTTCTTATTTCTCGATCTCTGTCTCAGGATGTCTTTCCTCTAGGCTCTTGCTCATCCTCCCCATGCAGAAGAGGCCGATGTCCAGAACACAACCCTGGGCCTGGGGAGAGACTGTCGGTGTCCCAAGGTGACCAAGCCTCAAACCCCCCACTCCCCATGACCTTTTGCAGTACTCTGAAAACGGCGGATTCGGGGAGAACTGGCTTCTACCAGTGTGAGGAAGTCGTGTTCGCTTTCTGAGTTTAGACTACCCAACCTGGAAACGGGAATATTTATCCTATAGTCCATTCCTTGGATAATAAATTCTGCGCGTGTCAAAGATGAGAGGGGGTGCGTTTAACTTCTGCATGTCTAGGGCTTACGGGCCCCTGGGCCTCAGACAGGGTCAGAGAGCCTGTCTGATCGGGTGACATTGTAGCTGCAGGAATTCGGCGCGGACTGCAGGCGGGCAGAGTCTTCGAGCCTGGCCGGACGCGGTGTCTAGGTGCTAAGCGAGCGGGATCTGAGAAGTGTCCAGGGGCCTAGGACTACTCTCAGAAAATCCCAATTTAACCATCGAAAAGGATTTAATTTGATATCATTAACTCAAAGGAAACAAACGGCCTTAGAGCAGTTTGGGACCAAGTATTCGTTCACAAGCTTGTAGTGGGAAAGGAACACTGAGGAGAAAATAAGTGAGTTCCCACCCAGAGAGAAAGAAGGAGAAGCTCCGCTGAATTTCTTAGAAATTACTCCATTGTGGATTAGGTGGGTGATCCCCAGTCCATCTCTAAAACGCTCTTCTCCGGTGTTTCTCGAGAAAGGTTGATATCCAGGTTGACTTTTATTAATTTCTTCTTAGAGGATCAAGTTTTTTTTTAATT